TGTGATTCCTTATGGTGGGGGGTGCCTAGAGCTGTGCTGGTCAAAGGCAGCTCACACCCGGGCTACATTCTGTCATATAAGCTATATTTGGGTTGTGTTTTACGTTCACTGCCGTTGCTTCAAAATAGTTTAAAATACAGCTGATGTTGATAGAAGTTGATGAGTGTGATTGGAAGTTTGGGTCCCAGTGACCCTGAGCAGGTGTTCAGGGTGCCACAAGGTCCCTGAGAAGGTGGAGGCAGTGAGATGAGTCAATGGGTTGTGTAATTCTGACATGCAGGAAAGCAGATGAGTCTGGCCACTAGCATTTCTGTAGCACTGAATTGGCAACTGTGAGCTCCCAAAGGGCAGAGGATGCTGCTAGTCAGCTGGAAGTGTTCCTGGAAATGCCCCTGGGTGAAATTTGGCATTCCTTTGAAACATGAAGTGGCCACCACATGCTGAAGTAGCTGACAGGAGGTGAGGGCAGAGCCCAGGTCACTAGATCTCTGTTCTTGACCGCATCCAGTTTTCAGTAGCAGGTTTTGGTTGGAGATGTCAGCTTGTATGGCCTGTTTGTCCTTTCTGAATCGTAGAATCATAGAATGGTTTGTGTTGGAAGGGACCTTCAAGATCCTCTTGTTCCAACCTCCCTGCCATGGGCAGGGACACCTTCCACTAGACCAGTCTGCTCAAAATCCCATCCAACATGGCCTTCGACACTGCCAGGGTTGGGGGATCCCCCCATGACCCCATGGATGGGATTCTCCCATGTCCCATATTGCCAAGCTTTGTGGTGGACCCCTATTGTTTAGCCTGATTTGAAAAAAGGACCTGGAAAGACTTATTAAAGCACTGATTGAGTCCTTCAGCTGCATCTCTCTGTGGTGAACAGGTTGAAAATCATGTCAAGGGACATGGAAATAGTTCTTGGAAATAGTCTTCTTCTAGACTGGTTCCCTGGGCAAGGAAGATGAATGAGGGCCATGTTTCTGTATCACCAGAGACTTTCTGCCCAGCTGTTCATGCAGCAGAAAAAGTCCTGAATTCAGTCAAAGCTGAGGAACTGGGCAGTTTTGAAAGAGGTCTGGTGCAAACTCTTGCTCCTAATCCAAGGAATATGGTATCTGCTTCTAAAACAGCCAGGGGCAAGTTGTCTAGGATCCAAGTCGGCAGCAGAGCAGCAGGGCCTCTCACTGGTGCCGGTGAACTTTTGATGGGCTTCCTGGCTGAATCCCACATTTGGAAGGCAAATCCAGGGGGGAAATTGCATCTATTATCCAAGCACGTGGTATTTGAGAGGGACTCCTGCCTGCTGTCTAAAAGTTGTGTGTCTTTTTCAGTATAGTCTTCCAAGATCTCTAATAGTCGCTGGAGACACCGGTGCTGCCTGGAGATGATGCTATCCCAGTCCTTTGGGGTATGTAGATGATTTTCTTGCAGTTGGTGTTAGAGGAGCCTTGTCTGCTGGCTTAGTCCCTCAGTGATAGCGTAGCAATTCCCCCATAACCTGTACAAGTAGGATACCAACTGCTCCATGTTTTAGTGGATTTAACTCAATTGGCACAACATTCTCATAGATACAAGTCGTTCCTGAGATGAGAGGAGGTGTAAGAATGTCCAGGCCAGTTGAATCCATGGGTTCTGGCTGAATGCTGGTCATTCACTCTGTAACACATGTGAGCATTAGTGTGAAATCTTGAGAGCGTACAGTCTTCTGTATGATGTGCTGGGAGATCTGGAGGAAGAAATGGGTGATTTGTTCTATAGGAACATTTTTCATCTCTTCACATCTGTTACTCTTTCTCCTGTCTTTTCTCCCCCCAACCCCCAAATTTGCACTTTGTCATTAAAACCAGGAAAGAAAAATCCCAATATGCATATGACATTTTACAAAAGTGCTCTCTTTGCTCTTAAAATCCAACAGTTCTGCTGTACAGCATTCATCTGTAATCAATTAGAAGGTTTTTTGATCAACAGAAGCTGAAGGTTCAGTTCCCTGGAGCTTAGCACTCTGCACGAGGAGGTGGGATTGCCTTGGCACTTTGTCTCCTTTCACCTGAAGAAGGAAATTAGAGCTGCAATGAATGAAACTCAGTGAGGCAGAATGAGATGTGAAAACTCCAAAGGTGCTTGTTAACCCAATTCCAGCCCCATTTCAGTGGTGTTCAACCAGGTGGTCTAGATGCAGCTTCCAGCTCAGGAATTTCTGAAGCTGCTTCTTGCTTGAAGCAAGGGAGAAGCTCTCTCTGGGGGTTGCCATTCCCTGTCAGAGACAAGATAGAGGTGAAAGTTGTGATCCAGTACACACTGGCTTGTCATTTTGAGGTCTTCTGTGATGTGCTGCCAGTGATAGGGCTGAGACCTCAGGTACCTAATTCCCCACTCCCCCTGACCCATGGCTGCTCACCTCTCCCTCTGGAAACCAGCCCAGTGTTGTACTGATGCCTGGGTATAGCCCTACAGAAGCAAAACTTTCTGGGGACAAACCTTTGCTTTCACACTGCTTGGAGCCTGCTCTGGTTCCTCTGCCATGTAGAGACTTCATTTCCAGTTGTCCTATGGAAAACTGGGAGTTTGGAGGAGTCAGTGGCTGGATGAGGTGGAGGCAGGAAAAGAAAACTCAAGATTTAAGTTCTAGCAGGAAACTGAATATCCCCTATGATAAACAACCTGAGTATTTGATTTCTTAAAAAGAGGAATCGAAACCCGAGATGTCAAAAATTAGGTTGGGCCAAAAGTGAAATATAATCAAGGAGAGATTTGTTCTGGATGTTCTTGGCCACCAAAACAGGTCTGTTCCCTCCATGCTCTTGAGAGAGCTGACTCTGTAGGAAGCCTGTCCAAGACTGGTTTCTTTGGCTTCACAGCAATTGAGAGCAGCAGCAGAAGCATCATCCTGTCTGATAGAGCATCAGGATGTTTCTCCCTGTGGATGCGGCAGGGGCATAAAAATTACAAATAAAAGGCAGAAGGGCTTTTGAGAGGGTAATAGAGTGCAAGATGGGGAGTATTAAGCCCATCTCCAGCCATAATTAAACCTGCAGTTGGAGGGTCTGTCACATTGCTTCAGACCCTTGGAAAAAAAAATTCAGTTGCTAGCTTCATTAGTAATTAAATGTCCAATTACTGTATGTAATGTTTCTGCTTTGCTGAACTCCACAACTGCATTCATAAACAGCCCTAAGGAAGGCCTCTAATCTGTGCCATTGTTCTTCAAGTGGTTTGCACATGCAGAAAAAGAAAAGAAAAATCAGGCAGACATACATAATATGGAAAGGAAAGGGGGAAGGGGTGGGAAGAGGAGGAAATCAAATCAGCATCTTCCACCTCCCTCCCCCTCCCCGAGGTAGGATCTCTGCCAAGCCCACAGAGAAGCCCTCAGGCCCCTCGAGCATGCAAATGTAATTTTCTATCCAGACAACACAGTATTTTTTTTTTTTTTTAATGAAATGAAGTCCACCCCCACTCCCCCTAAAACCTCCTCAAATCCCTGAATGCACAACAGAAGCAAGAAGAAAATTACAATGAAAGGAGAGAGGGAGATGGGAGGGGGAAAAAAAATAAAAGCAGCAGCAACCCACAAACAGAAGGAGAGATGGAGGGAGAATTGAGATGAATATGCAGTGTCCAGAGTTTAAATAGACATAAAAGATAATGAAGGTGGGGAGGGGGGAAGGAGGGAGGAGAGATTGTAATCAAACAAAATGATTTTGGTCCTCTTCAATCATCCCTGGTTTGCAGGCTGTCATTTTATACAAATTAGAGCTAGGGTAATTGTATGAATATTCACTGGGATTGAAATCACGTTTATTAAAGGGAAGGCACTCTTCTCAGGGCCCACTGCGCCGCTCGGCTTTTGTTCGCCTGGAACAACAGGAAAGTCACTTGTGCGATGAATGAGCACGGGATCCATGCCCCTCCCCTCTTAGGGGCTGGGCTGGGGTCCTGGGGGAGTGCTGGGGGTGGCGGGGCGCTCTTAGGGATGGGTGGCCCTTCCCTCCGGCTGAGAAGCAGAGGGCTGTGTGGAAGTGCCCATCTCGGGAATAACAGCCATAGCCTGGGAATTGGCTCTTCACCCTACCTGCAGAGGGGGGAATGACAATTGAACCAGTAATATCTTGAAACCATTTGGGATTAAATAATTGCTACATTTTTCAATAAGTTCAAATTTGTATTAATAATGTAATATAATTTTATTATTATTATTATTAATTACTACTATTACTATTATTACTACTATTACTATTATTTTTTCCCCACGCTTTAAGCGTTGCTGCTGAACAGAATTCTTCTTCCTGCTCAGGAGTGCGACCCAGGTCTGTGTTGCACATGTCTGGCACCACGCTGGGGACGGCTCCTCTCATACATAACCAATCAAAGATGTATTCAGGGCCGTTGTGAGGAAGCTGGGGATGATTATAAGTCGAGCTATCCGAGCCTTTTGCTGACTGCTCACCCTCGCATATTAGGAAATTTCTCTTAGAAGGGCAGACAAAGCCTTTTGAGCCCGTGTATGGTGATGGCCTCGCTTGGATGTCTGGCTTTAACCGCTTCACAATGTCAGCCTCTCATTTCTGAAAAAAGGCAAACGTATCCCATTGTCGCATGTCAAGTACCCAGCGCTGCCATTCAGCAGCCCAGCCATGGCTGTAACCCATCCTCAGGTTGTCACGGCAATGCAAGGAGATCGCTCTCCACTCGGTAGCCGGCAGCAGGAGGAAGGCGAAGCTGACCTGAAGCAGAAATGTTCATTTAAATATTTGATTGTGCCTTAGCCCAGTGATGGGATGGGTTGTCCCTTCTCCAGGACAGCTGGGCTGCAAGCGATCTCGAGGTGACTGGGTGTTGTGTTTTGTTATGGTTGGCGAAGCCATCTGTAATAACTTGCAGTGCTCTGTGGGGATTGCCCAGGGAAGGAGATGTGCTGGACTGTGGGGCCCAGGACTGTTGTTCTGCTGCTGGTGTGATGGTGTGAGCAGGTTCTCCCATCAGCCCAGGTGCTATGCATCTGTGTGCCAAACCCAGGTGAGAGTAAGAAATCGTGTGATGGGAAACCAAAAGCATTTCTTTTTTTTTTTGAGCTCATCTTTTTTGTTTTTCCTTTCCTTTCTTTGGATCTAGGAAAGATGAACTCAGATCTGAGACAGCCAGCCCTGCTAGTGCTGTGGGTACATGGATAATCTGTCTAGCTTGAACCTTAAAAGCTGTAAAAACAGCTAACTTAACCTAATTAAGGAGAGTGTTTGGGTTCTTTTTTGCTCTATGTGGGAATGTTGCTGGGGCAGACTGCAGGAAAATGGGTACACATGTAGCATCAGAAGATTTCTTCTGAAATTGCGGTGACTGTACCATCTGCCTGCACTGTGGAAGGTCCTGCCTTCACCAGATGATAAACTGAGCCAAAGGGATGACAGATATTCCCAACGTTTTCCCAGGGCTCAGCTGTGGCCACAGGGGTTTGATCTGATAGCACCAACTCTGTAAGATCAGCCATGGTAGAGCAAGGCACGGGGTTCTGCTCCCAGCAGGTTGTGTGTTGGACCAGGGCATCGTCTGCAGTCCCAGCATGCCGCTGGGCCAAGTCAAACTTGGCTTTCCCCTCTTCTTTCTGTCCTGCCCAAACCCTCCCATGGAAAGTACTGACCCATCAGTGCCATGGCTGTTGCTCAGCCTGATCCTGCTCTTGGCTGAGCTGGTCAAGTCATCTCCACCATGAGGGGAGGCTGTGTGTGTGCTTCTCCTTGGAGCCACAGCAGTGTCTCTGGCTGCCCTGATTCAACATGGCCTTGTGTACAAATAACCCTTCAAGGCTTCAACGTGGGTGGCAGTGTGTGCTCTTTGGGGTCACCAGGCCGTGTGGTTTCTGGCTTAGCACCCCTGCCGGGGAACTCTGTCCGTTGGGTGCTCGAAGTCATCCCTGGCTTCCTGCAGGCCTGATGTAGAGCTGCAGAGCTGCCCGTTCTGTTTTTTAACCAGGGTTTTCCTGTTCTGGCAATGTTTTGTCTTTGAAACCCAGTGCAGACCCCCACAGAGAGCTCCTGTATTGAACTGCAAGGCGCTGGGGGCTGTGCTCAGGGAGCTGGTTGGGATCAGAGGCTCCCTGTGGTGTTGCGGGCAAAGAGGAGGAGTGGGCTGGTGGTTTGAGGACATGGGATGAAATGTTTCCCTGTGTGTTGATGGTGTCCTCGTTGCTTGGGTTGGTGTACGTGTGCTTGCCAGACCCTGCAGACCCCCAAGCCCAGATAAACTGAGCCAGTGCTGTCTTCTGTGAGATGGGGGTCCCCAGAGACTGTGGGTGAGTGTGAAGCTGAGGTTTGTTTAAGGGGGAAGGATGTAAAGGTCGTGAAGCTGAGGTTTGTTTAAGGGGGAAGGATGTAAAGGTCAACCCCATGGGCTGCCAGGCAGCAGCGGCATCTCTGTGATGCTGCCAGAGTGGACTGATCTTCTTATTTGCATACAGGCATCTAAAATTTCTGAAGTGTATTTGAACTTGTAGAGACTATGATAAACCTTTTCTGACTGCTGGGATGTATCACTGAGGGAACTTTAGGGTACACCTATAGGACCTATTTGCTTTAGGGTCATCTAAGTTGCTAGGACTTCTTGAATTGGCATAGAGAATGGGTTGGTCTTCAAGTCTGTGCTGGGAAGGCTTTTTTGTCTCCACATAGGGAAACAATCTGTTTTTCTTTTTTTTTTCCTCTGAGTTCAGTTGTTATTGTCCTAGTTTTTGAGCAAAACTTAAGAAGAAAACCCCTCAGATGGTTCACTATTTTGTTATGATACCAGGAACAAGGAGTCTTTCCAACAGAAGAGATAATCCCTTGTCTCATTAAATTTATGACTTCAAAAAAAACTCCTGCTGGCCGTTTTCTGTGGGGGCTATTTTCTGAGGCAGCTTCTTCGGTTTTGAATGGTTTCATTCCTCAGCGCTTCTTTTGAGTGGAAAGTTTAAAGATGCGTCATCTTGCATGAGCAGGGCGATAAACTGTGAAGCAAATGTGAAGAGCCTTAGAAAAGGGCTGTACAAAATGCAGATGTAGGGGATTAGAAAACAGAACTGCACTACATCCAGCGATAAGTAGGGTTGGACTCAGCAATTTCTGAGCAGTTGCACCAGGGAGGGGCAGGGAATAATGAATTATTTGCTTTTTGGCTCCCAGCAAGCAAAGCAGAGGCGGGGAAACCTCTGGGGTAGGTTTGTGCCTTGGGTGCTACAGTGGTGCTGGCCAGCAGTGGTCTCTGGACAGGGCTGGGGGTGGCAGGGAGGTGAATTACACTGCAGTGTCTGTTAGGGGCTGTGGTCTCATCGCCTGTTAGCCAGACAGGGCACAGGGATAACAACATCCCATTGGATTTCATGTTTATCAAGTGTTGCACACTCCAGAACGGTTGGTATTTCCATGGAGGAAACTCAGCTGCTGGCAACTGTGTCTTGCTGCTGTTTGGGAGATACAAAGTGAGAGGAGGGACTTTCAAGCAATAGAGATGCTTTCAGGTAAGGAAAACCCAACGTGTAGCTATCGGGAGCATACCCAGGCTGTAAGTTTTGAAGGCTGGAGTGCCCCAGACCAACACTCAGAAGTATGGCTTTGGTGACTGAGAGAAAATCAACTCTTGCCTGAAGCAGAGAGGGAAGCCCTGGACCCTGGCTCTCATCTATTAATAGTCCAATTCATTTTATCACATCTCTATTTGCCTGAAAGTTTTTGCAGTTTCCCCAGGGCTCAAATTGCTCTCGTGGCTGGGGGCACCGCACTCCTTGAGTTCCTGGAGAGCCTGCCTTGGTTTTGCAGTGCTAATCATCACCTGTCTGAGCAGCTTTGCCAGGGGTTTTGCTTTTGCTCAGGAAGTAATCATGCAAAAGCTCCAACTGAGTGTTGAGGCTCCACCTCGAGCTCAGGGTTTCCTACACAGCCCTCTCCCTATGAGATTACTTTTGTGCCTTCTCCTTTGGCTTGCTCGTCTTACTGGAGGAGCAAAACTGCTGTCAGCCCCTTGGTGCTCTGGGGTAAGATCTGTTGATGTGTCCTGAGGCCAGAGTCTCTTTTTGTTCACAAGAAATTTTCAGGGTACAGACTACAAGTGGTATGATTAAAAATTTGAGTTGGATATCTTTATTTTTTTTCTCCTCTGATCAGGTCTTTCATCACTTGTCTCTTGCTAACCAGGGAAGCTCTGAGACTTGGGCAGATTTCAGAATTTCCATCTACCCCAAAACCTGCAGATTTAGTCACCACTGTCCCAGCTTCACCAGGCTCTCCAACTGCCTTTGACTCAGTGAGTAGCTGTGCAGGCTCACTTTCTTGCTGGAGCTTTTTGATAGACCAGACCCACCTTTTCCTTGTGCTGAGCCTGTATATGCACTGTCTTCATGGGCCTCTGAACCTATCCCTGCCAGGTGCATTCCACCAAGATGGGAACCTGTGGATGTAGATCTCTTTTCTGTTTAAAGCTTGTGGAGAGGCATGGGGGATCTTATAAGTATTTTCTGCTGGATCTCTTTTGCTATTTCTTTCTCCTGTTTCCATTTCTTTCCCTTCTGAAGACTATCCAAAGACATGAATATTATGCAATGGACTGTGAAGGACTTGAGAGAGAAAGCTGTAAAATGCACATCAGCCACTTCATAAATGTCAGGGATGCTGTTCAGAAGCATGGCTACTCGAGTTTAGCCAGTTCTGTATCTCAAGTGATCCCTGCAGATTTATTAGATGTTTCAAAATAGATTTGAAATAACTGGATTTAGTGTTTCTGGCGATTCCTTGAACCATCTTGTTTTTCAGCCAACTTGCATAAATGTGCCAGTCATGGGCTGCAGTGTATCAGCCAACTTAGCAAATGGTTTTATTTATAGCTGAAAGAGTGAAGCCAAGGAGTATAAATCCTGAAAAAAAGTATAAACTGTATTGTGGAATTAATAAACTTCAGATTCATGGAATTTCTAATGTTCCACTGATGGCTAAAAAATCTGTTTAATGGCCGCTGAGTGATACTTGGCTGCAAAGCAGAAACCCCAAAGTTGTCTTAACTCATCAGTGATATTTTTTAGTGTTTGTGTGCTGGCGCTGAATGTCTTTGCTGAATGATGGAAAGCTGACCTTCTCCGCCGCGTTTCTGCAGCGACCAGATAAGATTTCAGATCACAGCTTCGCTTCTTCTGTTGATGGTCTGTGGCTGTAGCCCAAGAAGCGCTGTTGGATGTCGGGCTGTTTATCTGGAGGATCAGTTGCGTGTCTGGCTAACTTTGGGGGTGTGAACGATGTTCAGTGCTGAAAGCAAGTGCAGGGGAAGGAGCTGAGGAGTTGAGAGTGGATCCTGTGCTTTCAGAGTGTGGCTGGCCAGCCGGGGGAGGTCCAGCTGCATCTTCAGAAACAACCAGTGTGTGTTGGACCTTTAGAGGTAAGTAGATCTGGGCTGTTGAGGAGGCGTCTTCCTCCTTCATCTTTCATCTCCATTGAAACTGCTTGTGATTTTGGTGTATTTTTAAGCTAGTGACTGTAACATTCTTTTTCACAGTGATTCATTAAAGTTTCAGGACCTTATTGCACATCCTTTCCTCGTAGGTCAGTGTCAGGGCAAGTGTGTTGCAGAGATCTCCTTGCTACATGGATTATTTATGTGGGAATGCATAGGACCTGTGTGGGCATTTAACAGCTGCTGGTTGGCAAATCTGCGTGTAGGAGTGTTGTCCTGGGTGGTGCTGGTCAGGGAGCGTTGGCAGCAGCCTGAGCTTGGGTCCTCTTCCTGGGCGGGGGCTATGGAAGGAATGGTGACAGCAGAAACCACCGAGCCTTCGTGGTCCCCAAGGCAGGGGGTTACAGCATGATGTCTTGAGCACGTGGGTGCTGTTTTGTGACTGCAGCGAGCTTGGGGTGCTCGTGGCCATTCCTATAGCCTGGCTGAGTGGCACAGATGTGCTCCATGGCAGCCACAGTGTGTTTGCACTCGCTGTGTCTGCAGGTGATAGCCAGGTGTCCTCCTTGAGTGTTGTGTCCCTCATGGTTGGGTGTCCCTGACCTCAGAGAAGAGCAGTGTCTCCAGGGTCATTACTCTCAGTCTCTCATCTCTTACTGTGCTTTGTCAACTTGGACCAGCTTGACTTTTCGTGCATGTAGCTGCTGCTTCCCATTCGAGAGATGGTCTCTAAAAGCATAGTTATAATTTATTTATTTAATTTATTTTAGAGCTAAGTTCAGCTAAGCAAGTTTGCACTTTTCTAGGTTCTAGTGATTGACACTGTGTTTGAACACCACGTTCAAAGCTAATATTTCTTGCAGGTGCTGGGATAAGTATCTGTAAATCTTTGCATTTACCATTATCCCCAATTTTCTTGTGCAGTGCCTGCTGTCACCGCATAAGGGTATTTATCCTGCACATAATCTGATTGGAAAATAACGCTTTGAAACAGAAAGGAAAATACACATTTCAGGTGGTGTTAGAAATGTCAGTTGTGGATGCTTAAACAGTCCTGATTGTCTGCAGGCTTTGGGGCATTTGGGTTTTCAGCTCCCTATTGTTACATCTAAAGCTGCTTATTGGAGTCCGAATAGGTTAGAAAGGCACCTTGTTCCTGAGACCCTCAGAAGTCTGCCTTTCCCCCACCGTGGAGGATGGCTTCTCACAGCCCAGCCAGTCAAGCCTTAACCCTTGGCTTAGACAGCGTGGGGCTGAACAAAGAGCTGCAGCTTTCAGATGGAGCAGAATAAAAAGCTATTATTTCATAATAATACTTTACTCTTTCCTTCCAAGGATTTCCTAAGGACTTTACAAATATTAAGGCCTGGGCAGTCACCCCCATGACTGAGAGCTGGAGAAGTGGCTGTGTGTGGGCATCTCAAGAGCTGAACATGAGTCATAATCTCTGCTCTGGGGTGATTTCAAGACTCAAGTTCCCTGTGCAGTTAATGCCTGTAAGAGGTCAGTGTGTGGGACCATGAGGATGTTTAGGGCCAGGAGAGCCTCCTGATTTGCTTTGTTCTGTACCAATTTCTTAGCCTTGTTCCAGCTCCTTGACTCTTGCCAGTCCTTGTTGGGTCTTACATGAAGATGGTGGTGACTGGGATCAAGGATGCTCTCTGCACAGTCCAGATGGACTTCTTCATGCCATCCCTCGGGCAGGGAAGATGAAAAGATTTCAGTGCTCATTTAGATGCCACTGTGGGGGTGGTGGAAATCCAGCTGTTTCCTGGAGTGCTTGTACCCAACCCTCTGTCTCTGCCACCATCACAGCATTAGGTGGGATTGAGGTATCTTTGTGCAGAGGGCCGTGCTTGCAGCCCCTTGTCCCTGTGGTGGGAGGAGAGATGGGGTACAGGGTGTCTTCCCCATAATATCTAGTCCTGTCATTGAGCAGATCAGACCCCTCCTCAAATTAAAAGTGGGAGCTTCTCTTACCAGTGAGGCTGAGAATCTTTGCTCTTTCATCCATCTTCTCCTGCCTTTGTAGTCCTCTGGGGCACCAACAGGAGCTGTTTTACGTTGTGAGTTTTTCTTCTCCCACCGCTTCTTCAATTGCACCTTAAAATTGGCACCTCTGGGAATGTTGTGGACTCTCAGCTTGGCATCTGGCATTTCTGCCCAGCCTGGGGCCAGCTGTGTCTGGCTGTGAGCAGCAGTGGGTGAGCAGTGCTGAGAACCTCCTGTTCCCATGGATCTGGGTACTTCTGTGGAGGGAGCACATGGCACTGCCCTCTTTGTCCTCACATCATCCCTCAAAGACCTCCCTCTGGCCGGCGTTACAGACGGGTGGATAGATCAGCTGCCATTTTCTCTTTCAAACAGTGACAATAAGTCTCTTTCCTTTGCAGGGACAATTAGTTTCTTTCCTTTGCGAGGTGTTTGGTTGGAATGGGCTGACCCCTCTTCATGGAAGGAGGGCCTTTGTCCCTTGTGTCCCTGGGAGAAGCCACAGCATGGACCATTTATGGTTTTTCCTTTTAACACAGTGACGGCGGCTTTGTTTTCTACGTTTAGTTTGCATCTAAGACCAGGACATGGCTCATGCTGTGTCCCTGATCCAGTGTTTAAAGCTTTGCTGTGATATAAGTTTGGCCTGGGCCCTGCAGGGTTTAGCTTAATTTTTAAAGCTCTCAATGTGAATAATTCCTTGCTGAATGCAGATCGCAAGAGGGGATATTGATTTAAAGCTTTAAAGCTGGTGGTTATGGATTAAAAAAAAAAGGAGAGAGGAAAGAAGGAGATTTACTGTAGTCAGAGCTGGTTGCCTAAATGTTAGTCCCTTACAGACAGGCTTTTGCTGAGCTAGGTGTGGGAATGGCAAGGAAGCCTGGTGAATTTTAGCTTTAAATTGTTGGCTGCTGAAAACCAACCCTGGGGTACACTCAATAACTGTTTGCTGTGCCAGGGGAGCATTTGCTGCTGCCTGGGCACTGTCTCAGTACAGACATGCTGTGGGGCTGCAGCAGCTAACCTGGACCCTTCCCTAGGGTAGGGGATCAGGGGGAGGATGGGTTGGGTTGGGCTGATGCTGCTGTGCAGCCACACACAGACTGTAACTGGAGTGGCGGGTAGGGAACACTCAGAAGAGCAGGGATGTAGCAGCTCGGAAAGAACATTGTGGGGAAGGAAGCTTTGGTACGAAAGATGCAGTGGAAAATAAAGAGAATTAAAAGCAGGCTGTACGTCCAGTTAGCAGACAGGGCTCTGAGGTCACTAATGCTGGTTATTTGGATTTCAAAGAGGATCCTATTAGCTTCTGTGGCGGAGAACCATTAATCAGTGGGGCGGGAGCTCGGGCTGGCTGGAGAAATCAGTTTTCAGTGTCCTTGATGTCCTGCCGGGCTGGCGCTGCAGAGCATCCTGCACAATGGTGGGTTTGTCTGGGATGAGGCACTTCTAGCCAGAGGCACTGTGTGGAATGGGGAATGGTAGGCCCCTCTGCCTGGGATCCGTGCAGGGATATATGGATGTTGTGTCCATGCAGACCCCATTGTAAATTCCCATCTTGATGCTACTGTCCCAGGGAATATTGCTGAATTGCTCTAAATGAGTACAAAAACTGAGTTACATACCTTTGGCAAGCATCCAGTTAAGTTTGCTAAATGGGATTAGGAGAGAAAAAACAGTGTTTCCAGGTGTGACTGTTGTGATCCTTTGGAAATATAATCTCTGGCCTGCCTTTTTGTTCCAATTGAGAACATGTGCCCAGGAGCCATTTCCAAAGGAGCTTTAAGCACAGGACTCAAAGTAACATTGGAAGTTTGAGTTGGACTTGCACAACAGCCTTGCTTTCCAAGCCTGGTGCTTTAAAAACCTCTGAGAGAAGCCTCTTAGTATTTGGAAGAGTAATTTGCTGTAGAAAGATGCCATAAGTAATGCAGAAATGTTGGGCTCAGAGAAGGGTTGTTTGGAAAAAATCAAGATCTGGATGTGGTGGTAGAATCTGAAACAAAACTTTTTTGTTAGTTTTTTTCCTACTTTTTGGGTAGTTTTTTCTCCCAAAAAAGTGTTTGAAACCTCCTTGCTTGAAATATTTAAATTTTTGTCAAAACATTTTATCTGGGAATTGATCTAACACTTCATTGTTATTTAAATCCTCCAGACGTCATCAGAGGAAGATATTTATCAACAATTACTATCTCTAACATCCATAAACCCCAATAATTTCTTCTTCTACATGTAGATTTAAACCCCCAGTCTGATCCGTTAAGACTTTGTAGGGACTGATAAGCAGAACTTTAAAAAAACAAAAAGGACAATAAAAATGGTTTTGTGTAGAAATTATGGCCATTGCTTTGAGAAACTTGATTAAGATCAGCAAGTCTCTGGCTGCACTGAGTATACTTAAAATCCCTAATTGTCTGGCTTTTTGTCTGCAGAATGAATTTATAAGAAAAAGGAGAACCCAGGCCTACTATCTTAACATGCCTGGAGTTCATGAGTAGAGCTGAGTTTCAGAGAATCCTGCCTTGTTTTGACTACATCCTTAAAATGGAGATCTGGAGATTAGTGTGGTGGGCCTGGGGTCATCTCTTTGCAGAATGTGTAGTCTGAGACACACAAGATCTTTTTCTTCAGACGTCCCTTCTGGTTGTGGTGTTTGAGCCTTTGCTTTGCTCCCTGGCTAAGAGTAGCGTTAATCATAGGACTGGAATTTGTGACTTAACCAAAGAAGCGTTTTAATGCTTTTCCTGTCATTGATCAATGGCTGGAAGCCACTCTCTCGGTAGCATGTCCACATTGACCTCTGTGTTGGTGCTTGATGGGTTCCCGTCCTTCTGGGTGCCTCCCAGCCCAGGAATGCCTTCCAGTATGCCTGCCTTTCTCCTTTGGAAAGGGATGCTCTGAACTTGGACCCCTTAGAGACAGAAAAGAGGCTTTTTGTGCACGCTGCAAAGGGCTCTTGTGTCTGCAGCAGGGCACGACAGAGACCTTCCTTCTGAATCTGTACTTGGAGAACAAAAAAAAAGCCCTTGCATCAGAACTTGCTATTTATATTTCTAGCTCTGAGACTCCTCAGCTGCATTATTAATGAAGCGTTTACCAATTAAGATAGATGAGTCTGCTCTTGAGGGTGTTTGTTAAGGTAAGGAATCTTATTAGCATATCTGATAGATACAGTGCCAGGTGCTGATTAAAACCTTGTTGACTCCCCAGGGGCAGAAGTCTTGAGGAAATAAGGTGGAGATAGTTGTCCTCTTTCCTGGCTTTGGCCGTGCAGGGAGCAGGAAGAGAAATTCAACATTTGTCCCCAAAGGCAGAGCCCTGAGCCTGTGAGCAGCTTGAAATGGGCATGGGGAGGAAATTAATCAGCCTGGATCAGAAATTCCAATAGCTGGAGCGATGCAAGTGTGATTAATGCCTCCTGAATGTGAGAGGTGGCAAGATGCTAGTTTTGCTGCTCATGCAAGGCTAGCAGCCTGTCAGGCGAGGAATTAGTTTCCAGTGTTGACCCTATGGGTTTCGGAGGTCTGGAATCGATGCTTGCCTATGTAACAGTCTTTCAGCAGCTCACTAAATTAGGTTTGCAGGCAAAATGATGCTGTGAGGTACAGTCAACCCACATATGAAACCAATTTCCCTTTGAAGCAGCACTAAAGAGGGCAACCAGAAGAGAAACGAGATCATCTTTAGGTCTCTCGTGACCTACAAGAGTTGAGAAGTGTGTATTCACTTTCCATATTTATTATAATATGGCAAAGGAACTGCATTGTAGGCTTTAATGATCCGCATGTGAAGAGCATCTTAAAATAGACTTCAGATCTCCTTGGAACATACATATGTGTTTATAATTTTACAGCTATAAAAATATATATTTACTGAATACATGTACTTTGTTTTTCCATCTGCTAAATATAGTCACGTATGAAAGTTATATGGAAAATGTAATTTTCCCCCGAATTATCCTGCTGTCAGTCTGCTTCAATTTCAGCGTCGGCAGAGGCGAGAGTGGAGATGGGCACTGTTGTGCTGCCAAGCAGGTGTCTGGGAGCAGTTTGCCTCAGGATGGGGATTACTGGAGATGGGGTTGGTGGTACCAGCTATTATGAAGCTTTGTCCAATTGTTAACGAGATAAAATCCTGTGTTCCGATTTGCTTGTGATTCTGTTGGGATTTTAAACATCTATGCTTGGAATTTTCATGCTGGATGTTGACCTCAAATGGTTTGATTTTAAGAGAGGGGAAAAACAATTATAAAATGGTTCTGCCATTTTGGAGAGTAAGCATGGAGAAGAATGTTGTGTTCACCTTGTTGAAGAAGACCAGAGAGCATTTCTCAGAGCTTGCTGTGAGTCTCAGTGCAAGGGGAATGGGGAGGAGGTGCCCATTTTGCGCGACGTCTTTGCTGTCCCTCTGCAGACGTGGTCAAATCCAAGAGAAGTTGGAATTTGCACGTTCTCAGCAGAGACTTTTTTGGTTCTGGCAGCTGGTAATTACCCAAGTGCCTTCACAATGGGCAAAGCTCCTTCCCACATGGCTCCCCAGGGAGGCAGGGCTGGCCATCCCCAGCCAGTGAGTTCTGTCACTGGAGTGTCTTGTTCTCTAATAGCTGCTCTGGGGAGCCAGCACAGAGTGGGAAGTGTGTCCCTAACCACAGCAGGGCAGGCATGTGGGGCTGGGCCTCGCAGGGGACACTGGAATATGGAGGTGTTCTAGGCAAAGGTAGAAAATGGCACAGTGTCTGGAGGAGGGAGACTTCCCAGGGTCAGGGAGAAGCATGGGATGGCATTGTGCAATTAGGACACATCAGGTCAGTTTGTCTCTGACATTCCCAGTTGTGCAGCTGGAGTCTCAGCCTTTCACTGGGTGCCGCGTCTCCTGTGCACAGTCCTTGCAGAGGGCTGCAGAAATGCTTGCACCACGTTTGGAAGATCAGCAGATGGTTTCTCTAAAGAGAGCCTGAAATGTGACTGTTGCTAAAATCAGTTTTTACAAAAACCACAAGTTCTTTAAAAAAAAAGGATAATTTCTCTCACAAACTCCAGCTCAAATAGTCTTTAAAATAAATACACTTCTGTGGTGTCTGCAGTTGGGCCTGGCTGGAGAGCCTGGAGTCTGCCTTGTGAGAAGTGTCATGACTCTAGAGTTTGTTTTGGTTCATTTTTGGAATGTTCTGCTGTGAAGGAAGGAGCCAGGCAGTCATCAGAGCAGTTCCTGGGTAGGATCTGGAATGGGTGACTCCACCATTCCTGTTTCCAGTCCTCTGAGCTTGGAGCAGGAATTTGAAGAGCCCTGAGAAACCAGTCGCCAGCAATACGTCTCCAGACAAGAGACTGCTGAAGAAGATGCTATCTCTTTGTGATTTATTCCTGTCTGCTCTTTTGGGACCCCATCCTTGATAGGATGTGAGTGGATTTCTGGTTGGTTTCTGCAGCAGAGCAAGAAGGTTAGCAGAGCTCTTGGACCTCCTGCTTCCCGACTTGCTGGTGTGCTATAATGGTAGCATGGCAAGTCATGCTGCTGTCTGCTGATGTGCTGAAGCTCCAAAATTGACCACAGGCCTCTGGCACACAAAGGGAGGTTTCAGCTTTGCACCCCTAAATGCCAAGGATTGACTTGCTTCTTGCGTTTGAGCTGGTGTGTGTCCAGCTGCCAGGGTGGAGGTTTGTAGCCCTCGGGAGTGCAAAGGTAAGCAATGTATTAATTCAAATGTTGTTACTGGGTTTTTCTTTCAGAGCCACAGTTTGCTCTCAGAGGAACATCCCAGTAAAGGGCAGCCTACCCATTCCTTTGGTCTGTCTTTCCCTGCCACGTGTGTGCTGCGGTGGAGTTGGATGCTTTTGGGAGTGGGTGGGTCCTGTGTCTGAGACAAGTTTCTTTCCTCAAGGATGTGATTTACTGAGAGACAACAGGAAGGATAGTTAGTGGGGTAAAGCCTGAATGAAACAGGACCACATTGTGGTCTTCCAAGCTCTGCCTGTGGGGAGCTGGGTGGGTGGCGTGTTTGCTGGTGTTTTCAGGGATTCCTTGTAAGCATTTGAGGAACATTTGTTCAAAACTCACAACCAGTTTCTTTCTTCTGTTGTACAAAAATGCTACCAATGAAAATAGACAAGCTCTCTGGGTCATTTCCAGATGCCCTTAGTAAGACAGAAGTGTTTATTTTTTATGGGCCAATTTTTGTAGTCTACCAGAACGTCTTGTACTGTTAATGCCACATGGAGCAATAGCTCTGTTTGATAAGAGCAATGTGCTCTCAGGGATATTCAAATTAGAGGTAGTTTCCTCACATGTACACACTCAGTAGCATGTGCTATGAAACATCTGGGTCCAGAATTGCACTGAAGAAATCAAATGGCCAAGTCAACCTGAAAGTTGTACCCAGGGCTCTTCCTGGAGAATCACCATGTGCAGCCCTCTTCTCTACTGCAAGGCCCTTGAGCAGATGGCCTGGCTTTTTTTTATCCCTTTTCCTCCTCCTCCTCAGGATTTGCAAGTCAGGAGTAAAACTCAGCTTTGAATTTTCTGTCAGCATAAGGAACTCTGAGTCCAAAAGGCTTTCTGGCTGCATTACACGGCTGCGTGGGAGGCGAAGAGCCCTTGGTTCTCCTGTCTGTGTCTGCCCTTCTCCTGCTGTGGTTCTTGGCTTTACCTCCAGGTCTGGACCGCCTGTTGCCGGTGGTGCTGGAGTAGTGGGTGGCTGGTGTAGGAGGATGTTGGCAGCAGCAGCTCTGCCACAGCATCCTGGCTGCCTCGGTGCCTCCAGCCTCTAGGTTCCTGCATCTCAGAGGTGTGCAGTGTGATGCTGGTGACTCTGCCTTGTTTTGGGGCTTCTTGTGCCTTCCGACTGCTCTGTGACCTGAGTGTCTCCAAGTGGAGTGATGGGAGGTGTCTGGGGAAGAGCATGCATGCAAGAAAAGCTTACATAAATGCTGCCCCAGAGCCCTCGGTGTGAGCTCTCTGGCCATCAGACATAATCCTGGCAGGGCTTTTCCATCAGCTTCATGAGGAACAGAGTTGCTTTTCCTCAGAAGGGGCTTTGTTTGCATGTCCTGGGTTCTCTGTGCTTTTTACTGTGGGAATGGAGAAGGATGGGACAGGCAGCAGCTGGAGGGCTGTGCAGCTCTGTTGGATGCCATGTCAGTCATGGCACCACAGGGTGGGACATGGTCATTTGGCTGAATTTCCTTCTTTGGTTTCACCTTAAAACCTATCTTTCCCTTTGGGATGAGTGTTTCAGGGAATGATCTTCAAGGTTTAACCTTTCTGATAGCAAATCTGCTCAGCTGTCTTTCATCATGGCTGCTGTCCTTCAGAATTGTCTGGCATTTCCATGTCAGGTGTGACTTGTTTAGAAGATTTTGCTGCAGAGATGGAGGAGGTCTGTATGTCTATCTTGCTGAAGGAGATGCCAGAAAAAGCAGGAGTCGGGGAGCTGTGGTGCTTTTTCTGCCTTTGCTTCATGAAGGAAAGCAAGACCAAGAGCTTGGCTTTAAGGGTGTCTGAAGTTGCTGTGTGCAGTCTGGTAGAATGTCTCCCCCTTGGCTTGGAAAGGCAGTGGGCTGTGTTTTACATGAAGCCTATTCAGTGTGGCTGGCATTGCACCATGTACAACAGGGAAACCAGCTAGCTCTCATTTTAAATAAGGATGGGAGATGCAGTGGGAATCGGCCCTGGAGCAGACTGCTTGTTCTGGGCGTGGGCAGCTTGCCTGTGAAGTGTGTCAGCGTGGGTGAGGGAGCCAGCAGGGACTGAGATGCTCGTATCCAATGCTCTCAGAGGGTCCTTTCTTTGGTGCTGCACCAGTAACATGAATGACATCTGAGTTACTTACTGAAACCTGCTCACAGATGTTGTAAAGTCATGCTAAGCCCTTACCAATGTGGCTTCCTGAAGGGACCAAGTTCCAGGGATCTAGGACCCTTCTCCCCTTCATATTCTCTCCCTACATTCTCAGATTCTGTGCATGTGGGATGGGCTGTGTCTGCAAAGAGTTGGGCTTAAGCCTGAACTATTCCAGTCAGTGCTGGTAGGTTGGGGGCCCCTGAGGGGTGTCTTATGCTCTTGTACATGCTGTGTATGCTTCTTGGGGGTGCTGAGAGGAGCAAACAGAAAATGATGGGCTGACCGGAAAATCCCCAAGAATGCAACACCCTCTTTCCCCCACCTCCACAGCTGACATTCTAGAAACCAAGAGCCTTTCTTGTTCTCTCTGTTCTTGTAGATCCCAGCTGCACTCTCAGCTGTCAGCAGGAGGAGGAGATAAATCAGGGTCTTGCTAGGAGAAGCCCAGAACAGTACAATTTTGGTTGAAATATTATGTAGGTGTCATGATGGACCATACAGCTTTGCTCAGCTCTGTGGGTTGGGGTGCAGTGGTGGAAGTGGGTCTCTTCTTGTCCATGCAGCTGATAGAGAGGAATCCTGCTGACTCCTTCAACAATGCAGGTTTTGGTGTAATGGCTGTGCTTGGGAGATGTGATTTTTTTTTTTTTCTTTTTTTTTTTTTTTGGTACAGCTCAGGTGGTGTGCTGAACCTAAACTTAACAATGTGGGGAAAAATCACACGGGTTTTGGCGAGTCCATGCTTTACCTTACAGTGTAGGTAAAGGGCCTTCAGTCAAGGGCTGTCTTCAAGATCTGGATGGTTGAATAACACTTGAAGGAGAAAGTACTTGTGCTGAGATGGTGCTGGATCCCTTGTTCTGAACAAGCCTCACTGTTGTCTTTACCTTTTGTATGTCTGTCTGCAGAGCAAGAGTGATAATTAATGCACAGTGGCTCTCCTGGGTTCTGCCAAAGCCAATACTGGCTTTCCAAAGCCAGCTCAGAAGTACTGAAAGTGCAGTTTTAGGCAGGGCTGTGGGTCAGACAATTCTCCATTTGGCTCTTGATGATTTGATTGTCAAGCATCACTTGAAACTTTTCAGTCAGCATTAAAGTGAGAGCATCAGTCTAAACTGAGGCAGTCCTGGGCATCAGATGATTACATATTTCAAAAAATTACCTTAGCTTGACCTTGGATGAGGGAAATGGTCAGCATCACATACTTTCAATGCAGCTTTTAATTTTTAGCTTCTTTCAAACAGTCTTTTTTCCTTCATAGAGCTTTTCTTCCACAGCAAATGCACCGGTCATTTCCTGAGGATCTTCAGAACTTCAGCCTGCTCCTTAAAATACCCCTGTGAATCCCAGAAGGGGCTTTATCCCAGCTTGCAGTTAGGGAAACCAAAGC